CAGACCAAACATTGCTCAATATACTGTGAGGGAAAGAAGTGGGTAGAAAGCAAAAAATTTCTTACAAGGAAGAATTTTTCTATGTTTCCTCAGGAGGAAGAAAATAAACTTTGACAGGATGAGAAGCATTTTTAATGCTGTTACCTTTGGACGATGAGGAATTGACACCATTCTGCATCTCTTTGTTGTTTTCAGTCGTTTGAGAATCTATCATCAGTTGCAGGAAATCTACGCGATCCTGAGAGGTAAATCAGACACCATGTGAGAACTTCAGAGTAATGCCACAGATATGATTTGTCAAGATTGACCAGGTTTAAGAAACAGTTGCTTCCATCCACCTTATTTATTATCAATAAATAACAATAATAATCCTTGCATTTGATATAGTGCCATATCATGTCTTTGAAACGTCTCAAAGCGCTTCACAGAATATATTGTAATATGAATTTTTCAGGCGAAACGCAGCAGCCAATTGCGCACAGCAGTGACCCACAAAGAATCATGGGTTTAGGGACCAAATTATTATTTATTGTTTTTTGAAGGGATTATTACCCTGGAAAAGCGATCCCCCAATGGACGCACAATCGAGTTCCTACTTACTGTGAGGTAAACAGAGGCTTGTGGAGTAAGGAAACTCCCCCTGCCCAGGAATCTGTGTAATGCCACAGATATGATTGGTCAAGATTGACCAGGTTTAAGAAACAGTTGCTTCCATTCGCCTTATTTATTACCAATAAATAATAATAATCCTTGGATTTGATATAGCGCCATATCATGTCTTCGAGACGTCTCCAGCGTGTTCCAACCACCAAACACATCTTTCCCTCCCCTCCCAGCTTCTGAAGGGACCGTTCCCTCCGTGACATTCCTCCATCACCGTCAACAGTTGCTCTCTTTCCCCATGCCAGCGCAGGAGATGCATTACCTGCCCTTTCACCTCCCCCAATACCACTGTCCAGGGAGGGCCCCAAACCGTTTTCTCGTGAGACAGTGATTTATGAGTATAAATGTAGTTTACTGCGTTCACTGCCACATTGTGTATTCTGTACATTGGGAGACCAAACGCAGATTGGGTGACTGATTTGCTGAACACCTCCGTGCTGTCCGCAAGCACAACCCTGAGCTTCCGGTTTCTTGCCATTTTCAACTCTCCCTCCCACTCACACTCTGACCTCTCCATCCACGGTCTTCCTACGCTGTTCCAATGAACCACAGCACAAGCTCGAGGAACAGCACCCCATCTATCTGCTCGGGACCTTACAGCCCTCGGGCCCTCAATATTGAGTTCAACAATTTCAGACAATAACAGCTCACAGCCCCTCCCCCTCTTCTGTGACCATTACCACATCATCTGGGTCCCAGCCACACCTTCTCTCTCTCTGGTCTATCTGTATTGTTTCAATTCCCCCCTTTCATTTTGCATTTTTAACCCATTATCCCCTGACCTCTACCTGATTTTCTCCTTTGTCTTCCTTGCCCTGCCTCCCCCCTCTCTGTTGGACCTTAAAAGCCTCTCCTTCCCAACATGCCCAGTTCTGAGGGTCGTGGACCCGAAACATTGACTCACTTTCCTTTCTCCATAGATGTTGGTTTGTTTCAACAGTCCGATCTACCCTTTCTGAACCTCACGATCACTTGAAGCTGCTCCCCCTCCTATAAGGACTATATCAAATTGTTACTCAATTCTGACTAGTCTTTATCCAAGATAAAATTATTCGTTGATTTCATTGCTGTTTGGGGGGAACGGCTGTGGGGCAAATTGGTCGCTGCATTTCGCTGCATATACAAAGTCACTACACCTTGCAAAAACTTTATGAGTTCTAGAGTTTATAGGTGTTACACCAAATGATTATTATTATTATACTTTGAAGTGTAAGCTGCTTTCCATTGCTGAAATATTGGGATGTCTCACCTTTTATCCACTCACTAGGGAGAGGAGGATAAGGAATGGGTATTGATCTCAGTGACTGAACTTAATGTAAAACTTACATTGCGTGTTGTTTTCCTGTTTTCCTTTATGTGTGTCACAGCTTTATGGAAAAAGTCGGCGACTTTATTGGGGAAGAAGTTGATATTCAGCTTTTCCATGATCGGAATGAGGAACGGAAATATTACTAGAAATATAAATAAAACCACGGGAAATTAGATGTATGTATATTAATACAGTGTGAAATTATCCCAAAATGATTACTTTCAACAGTGGGTTTGAACAGATATTCAATGAACACAAAGAAACAATTAGGGTTGTGTACATTTATATACTGATCTGAACACATTTCCAATATTTCTACTTCCTAAAAGCACAAATTATCCTACGGTACAGTTCCTTGGGCACCAAATGGCCTGGATAGGACTATTGGCAGGAATTGACCATGAGAAGGAGCGTAACAAACACCCTGTGCCTGATCACATCCCTCAGCCAACATTCGCACCACACATTCCAATAGGGGTTAACAGATAAATATCAGGAGAGAGCACCTTACTGTTTCCTCTTGCTTCCCCCATCGACCCCCCCCCCCCCCCCTTTTCTGAGAAGAGAGGCTAATTATGATAATAATACTTGCATTTGATATAGCGTCTTATCACGTCTTTGAGATGTCTCAAAGCCCTTCACAGAATATACTGTAAAGTGAAAAACACAGGGAAAGCGAGAGACATACACACAGACAGAGAGAGACCATATTCTGGACACTGCCCGGCACGAAGGGCGCTATATAAATAGTTGTTGCTCCGTATATGGCTCTCTCTCTGAGTGTGTCTCTGTATTTCTCTCTCTCAGTCTGTGTATCACTCTCTCGTTCTCTGTGTGTATGTAATCTTTGTCTACATATCTCTTTGTCTCTGTATCTCTCTCTCTCTGTGTGTCTCTGATTCTCTCTCTCTGTCTGTATGTCTCTCTGTCTCTCTCCGGTGTCTCCGATTCTCTCTGTATCTCTTTCTTGGTGACTCTATCTCTGTGTCTCTCTTCTGTTACTGCTTTGAAAGTGAATAACAAGTTCTGCTGCTAACCTCTGCCGTGTGCCACTGTTTTTCCCACTGGGTCAGACCGAGCCTGGGCTCTTTCCAGACACAAAGTGCTCGTGGTCTGTGCTCGTGGGCCGAATAAAAATCATGCCCTGGGCTGGACGAGGCCAGCAGGAAGACGGTTGGACCACCCCACTGTAGATTATCTTAATTGTTCATCAGAAAAAATAAGGTCAAACAGGCAGGATCACTGAACAGCCGAACTCGTACACATGTGCCGCATTTTAAAAGTGCAGCTTCACCGATCACTTACTCACGATAAGAAACACAGGGTTGAAGAAGCTGAATTTTAACATTTTCTTTATATTGCTGACAAATGGATCACTGGGGTTGTTGAGTGAGTCGATGTCCACACTGAAAGACGTGCTGGTGACTACATCCATGCTGTATGGACCAAAGAGGCTGGGAAACGAAGAAGAAATTCTATTAATAATAATAGTCCTTGCATTTGATATAGCGCATTATTATGTCTCAAACCGCTTCACAGAATATACTGCAAAGCATTGACTGTGTATTTTGTGGGCAAAACCCGGCAGCCAATTTCGCACAGCATTGTCCCACAAACAGACGTGGATTGAGTGGCAAAATGTTTTTATTTTTTATTTATTTATATATTTGAGGGGAATATTACCCCGGAAAAGCGATCAGCCAACCGACTTAAGAACTGGTTTGCTTCTCGCTGCGAGGCAAACAGAGGTGTGTGGAGCAAGAAAACTTGCCCAATGTCTTGCATTTGAGATAGCGCCTTATTATGTCTCAAACCGCTTCACAGAATATACTGTAAAGCATTGACTGTGTATTTTGTGGGCAAAACCCGGCAGCCAATTGCACACAGCAGTGTCCCACAAACAAACGTGGATTGAGATACCAAATTATTATTATTTTTTGGAAGGATTATTATTCCCGGAAGAGCGATCCGCCAATCGACTAACAACTGGGTTCCTATTTACTGCTTGGTAAACAGAGGCGTGTGGAGTAAGGAAACTTGACTAAGGTTTCGCCCTGCCCGGGAATCAAACCCAGGTCCTCTTGCTTGCGAATCGACTGCTGGAACCAATACGCTACAGGACTTCACATGATAATGAAACGATCACAAGGGGTTAATAATAATAATGCTTTACATTTGATAAAGTGCCTTATCACGTCGTTGAGCTTCACGATGGACTATAAAATGGATTTACTGTGTATTTTGTGGGTGAAATAATCAGGATGGAAAAGGCTCTTTAACCTATTTGATAATAATCTTGGCATTTGACACAGTAAAGTGACACAATGTTTTGAAGCCCTTCATAAGAAATTGATGTCAATTGGAATGAAACAACAACACAAATTACATTTGTATGGAGCCTTCTACATCGGGAAGAAGTCCCAAAGCGCTGGACAGTCAGGGCCCAAATTGGGGGTTTGGGCTCAGGGACAGTGGAGGGCAGGAGGCTATGGGTAAGTGGGTGACCAAAGGGGCGGTTGGAGTGGAGGATTTTGAGAAGGGCTCTGAAGGCGGCAAGAGAGGGAGCGAGGTGAAGGGACTGTGTGATGGAGTTCCAAAGGGTGGGGGTGTGGAGACTGAAGGCCCAACTGCTAATGTTAGAGTCTGTGGCGGTGGAGATTTTTTTTAAAAAAGAAGCACTCAGATACAGAGATAACTCACTCCTTCAAAGCAATGGGCTCATTCATCTTTGCTTTCTTCTCCACATTTTTCACAAGAGTTTCTGCATAGCGACAGACAATCGGAAGCATCTGGGGAAAAATAATAATAATAATCCTTTACATTTGATATAGGGCCTTATCTCGAGATGTCTCAAGGTGCTTCACAGAATATACTGTAAAGTGAATTGACTGTATACTTTTTGGGTGAAACAGCAGCCAATTGCGCACAGCACTGTCCCACAAACAGACGTGGATTGAGTGGCAAAATGTTTTTATTTTTTATTTATTTATATATTTGAAGGGAATATTACCCCGAAAAGCGATCAGCCAACCGACTTAAGAACCGGTTTGCTTCTCGCTGCAGGCAAACAGAGGTGTGTGGAGCAAGAAAACTTGCCCAATGTCTTGCATTTGATATAGAGCCTTATTATGTCTCAAACCACTTCACAGAATATACTGTAAAGCATTGACTGTGTATTTTGTGGGCAAAATCCGGCAGCCAATTGCACACAGCAGTGTCCCACAAACAATCGTGGATTGAGTTACCAAATTATTACTATTTGTTTTGGAAGGACTATTATTCCCGGAAGAGTAATCTGTCAATCGACTAACAACCGGGTTTCTATTTACTGCTTGGTAAACAGAGGCGTTCGGAGTAAGGAAACGTAATTAAGGTTTCGCCCTGCCCGGGAATCGAACCCAGGTCCTCTTGCTTGTGAGGCGAGTGCTCTAAGGAATATGCAACCAGGACTCCACACAGTAAACACATTCAACGATTTAACATTTCTGGTTCAACAATAACAACAACAACAAAATTACATTTATAGAGCATGTCTGGAGGACATCCCAAAGCGCTCAACAGTCAGATATTGGGTCCCGAGCATGGAGGAGGGATGGGTAGGGGTGAGGGAAGGCAGAGGGGTGGGAGGGAGACCAAAGGCATGGTCAAAGAGCAAGGTCTTGAGACCAGTCTTGAATAATACAATGGAGGAAGCGTGGGGAAGGGACCGTGGGATGGAGTTCCAGAGTGTGGGGGCAGAGAGGCTGAAAGCCCGGCCAACAATGGTAGGGTGGATCGGGCGGGAGACATGGAGCAGGCCAGAGGCTGATGAACGGAGGAAATGGGCAGGTTGGTAGGGAGTCAGCAGGTCAGAGAGGTAGGAGGGGGCAAGGCCTTAAAGGTGAGGATGCGGATTTTGAACTTGATCCTCTGGGGGATGGGGAGCCAGTGGAGTTGAGCGAGGGTGGGAGTGATGGGGTCGCGGGGCCTGGTGCTTGAGAGTACACAAGTTGCAGAGTTTTGGATGATCTGCAGCCTGTGAAGGGAAAAGTTGGGAAGGCCGATGAGGAGGGAGTTCCCATAATGAAGCCTTGAGGTGACAGATGCATGGGTAACGGTTTTGGATGCCTGAGGGGTGAGGCAATGGCGGAGTCTGGCAATGTTGCGGAGGTGGTGGTAGCCTGTGGCGGTCATGGCGCCATGTGGGGGAGAAAGGACAGTTCAGGGTCAAACAAGACACCCAGGTTCCTCACTGGCTTAGTGAGGTTGGGTGTGCAGCCGTGGAGGCTGATACTGCCAGTGCCTGAGGTGCGGAGTTGCTGGCGCGAGCCAATCAGGAGGGCCTCGGTCTTGCTGACATTGAGTTGGAGAAAGTTGTCCGTCGTCCAGGATTTGATGTCGGAAAGGCAGTTGGTCAAGACCTCAGTAGTCCTGGAGTTCAGGGTGGAGGCAGAGAGGTAGAGTTGGGCGTCATCCACATACATGTGGAAATTTACCCCATGTCTGGGATGACGTCACCAAGGGGGAGCGTGCAGAAAGTGACGAGGAGGACTGAGGACAGAGCCCTGAGGAACACCGCATGAGACAGTGCGGGGGCTAGAGGAGAAACCGTTTGCCGCGACAAAGTGGAGGCGGTGTGACAGGTAGGACCTGAACCACTCAAGGACAGAACTTTGAAGGTTGAGGTGGAAGGAGAGGCGGTGGAGGAGGATTGAGTGGTCCACGGTGTCAAATGCGGCGGAGAGGTCGAGGAGGATGAGGAGGCAGAGGGAGCCCTGGTCACACATGGTCAGGATGTCGTTTGTGACCTTGTCCAGAGCAGTTTCCGTGCTATGGGCAGCACGGAAACCCGATTGGAGGGGTTCATGGAGGGAGTGAGAGAAGAGGAAAGAGCGAAGCTGGGAGGCAACGGCTCTTGAGGACCTTGGATAGGAAAGAGAGATTTGAGATGGGCTGGTAGCGAGATAGCTATGATGGGTCAAGAGAAGGTTTTTTCAAGGTAGGGGTGATCGTGACTGTTTTGAAAGGGGAAGGAACAGTGCCAGATGACATGGAGAGGTTAATGATGTCGGCGAGAAGTGGGGCAAAGAGGTGGAGCTGGGATTTAAGGAGAGAGGTGGGGATGGGGTCGAGAGAGCAGGTGGTGGACTTCATGGAGGTTACCATGTTGAAGACAGAGGAGGGGATGACAGGTTCAAAGGTGTGGAAGGAGGGCTGGGTAATTATCAGATGGGTAATTATCTAATGGGTAATTGTGTGGGGTGAGGGTAGGGAGGGGTTGGAAGTTGGGAGGGCAGTGGCAACTGTGCAGATTCCCTCGATTTTGGACTCAAGGAAGTCCAGCATTTTCTCGCAGTGAGAATCGGATGAAAGTATCTGCGAGGCGTGTCGGGGAGGGCGGAGGAGTCGGTTAGTGGTGGAGAACAGGAGCCTGGATTGCCTTTCGCCTCCAGGATTAATCTGGAATAGAAGGATGATTTAACTGAGGCGAGAGCGGAATTCTTGGTGAGGTCCAGCCAGATATGGCAGTGGACCGTTAGGCCAGGTTTGAGCCAAGTGCATTCGGCAAACGGCACCTGGCCCTTACCAAGCGGAGGTGGCTGATTCACAAGTGAAATGAAGCAACACGAAAACTCAACAACAACTTGCACTTAGACACCAACCACAACAACATCTTTATAGACGGCCCTTCACGCTGGGCAGCATTTCGGACAGCTTAACAGTGATGGAGCCCGATGCCGAGCTGGGGGGAGGGAGGAGGTGACTGTCAGTACAGTCGAAGAGGAAAGCCTTCAGACAGCAACTTTCACATAGAATAATGTCCCAAATGGTTTCATGGAGGTGGAATGGGAGCCGGAACAGGCTGGGAGTTGAGGAGAATGTCCCTTCATTTGTGTATGTAATCTTACACACCAGAAGTACAAACATTTATTTTTGTTCAACAGCAGTTATGCTATTGGGGGGAGACTTTACCTCTTTCAGTCTCCCACTAGTGAAAGTGGGTGAAAGCACACTTCGGATTCTCTTCCAGTTCTCATCATGAACAACTGAAACGGCATCTTTCAAAGGTCCAATCAGATCAATATCCTGCAAAAAAAGAAGTGAACAACGTTCAACAGGTACAGTTTTGAATTGAATGACCTGTCTGCTCCCTCCGCTCAGCAGGCTCTAGCCTGCTCCATGTCTGTCAGGTCTGCCCCACCATCGGCTGTCAGGCTTCCAACCTCTCTGACCCCACCCTTTGGAAGTCCATCCCACAGTCTCTTTGCATTGCTCCCTCCCTGAGCCCAGTATTGAACTGAATCTCTTGACTATTTATTTCTGCCTGTTCACGTGGACGTTAAAGATTCCATGGCACTATCTGAAAAGATAATCAGTCTCTCCTTGGCTCCAAGCCAACAATCCCCTGAGTGTGGGACACTGCTGTGGGCAAATGACGCCAAGGTGGGGGGGAGGTGACCGTAGGCACTGTCGAATCATTGCCAATGTCACTCATCAAAGGAACATTATCCCAAAAACATTGCTAATGTCACTTGTTGAAGGAAGTGACATCAGGAAGTGCACAGCGATGAAGGCTATTTGTCATGGGTCACTTACAATGCGATTGGACACAACTGATTACATGAGATTTTCTTATTATTCAACCTGTACTCATTCCTTCTTTATAGAGAACAATCCTTTGTAAATATATATTTCATTTCATGCTTCGCTGGCATGCCTGTGGGAGATATTAGAGCACTAACCCACAGTCTTCCCACTCTACTTACCTCACTGTTACACGCAGCCAAAGAAACTAAATCCTGTGAAAATAACCTGCTTTACACTGGTTAAAAAGAAACAAACTGAAAAATCAATTTCCGGAATTTGATACTAACCCGTCTGTTGGTGAAGAAAGAATAACACTCTTTTACCAAGATGGTTTTGATCATGTTGGTATCCATAACTGAGAGAAGAGGCTGCCTTCCATCATAAATGCTAAAGGAATGGGAAAAACATAGCTCAAGTACACAATGAATAGTGAATAGACGGATTATAGAAAGAATAAATAATAATAAAATAATAATCCTTGCATTTGATACAGTGCCTTTCACGTTTCATGGGAGGATATATTAAAGTGCTTCACGGGATTTTCTGTAAAGTATAGTTACTGGTGTATTTTGTAGGCAAATGCGGCAGCCAATGCAAATGCCAATGTCCCACAAACAGCTATGAAGTGAATGACTAATTTTATCTAAAGGTGGGTAAGGCTAGAAGGGAGACCAAAGTCGAGGTCGAAGAGGAGGGGCTTGAGACGTGTCTTGGAGGAGGCAAGGGAGGGAGTGAGGCGGACAGACTGTGGGATGGAATTTCAAAGGGTGCGGCAGAGAGGGAGTGGACAGTCAATATGGTGTTAGCAGGTCAGTGAAGTAGGAAGGAGCAATGCCGTGGAGGGCTTAAAAGGCTGTGGACAGAGAAATAAATTTAAAGAGAAGCTACATTTAGATATTGCAGTTAGTACTTGGCACAGCTGATTCAAAGAAAACAAAAACACATTTAATAATCTTCAAATTATCTCACTTGATGTTTTTTCATTTTTTCATTACATCATTATTTTTGATTGAAAAGTACTCACCCCCAGATCTTTCCATACTTCTTGTAACATTCCATATCAAATCCAAAGAAACCCTGTCCAGCAAAAGACCAAATCATTAGCAAAAACATTTATATGGTGTGCATGATATGACACACTCATACAATACAATACCTATCTGTACCTGTTGCAGCTGAGCTTGCGGCAAAGGATCCGATATAGATTTCAGTGATACCAAATCATGAACCATTTAACATGCCATAAACACGGTGTGTACACCTTAAGCAAAACTGCCATACATGTGCAAATGAGCTTGTTTACTTTATGTTAAACTATTATACTTTACATCATCATATTAGATTGTTATACTTCATATGATGGTAGGAGATCCCCCCTGAAAACATAAGAGCCAAGAGAGAGAGAGAGATCCCCGCACAGTTCACACACCGCATATTTGTTTGTCTGCCAATAACGCATTAACCGATTGACGTTGAGACATGATTTATACCTCCTTGGAAAGGTCTTGCCAGGGGGAGTGTCGTGGGCATATTTTTTTGGGGGGAATCTCCTATCATTGATGAACTATGACCTAAACAAGCTCATCATACATGCATGGCACTTTTCATTAACACACGGCGTTTATGACATGTTAAATGGTTTGTGAGTGGTATCACTGAAGTGTAAATTCCACATTGGATCCTTTGGTTGCAAGCGTAGCTGCAACGGGTACAGCAATAACCTCATATTTTCGGCTTAATTAAAGCATTTTTTTAAATATAGATCATCAACGATAGGAGATTGCCAGAACAAAAATATTCCCATGACACTTCCCCTTCCCAAGGCGCTGCTCTGTCAGGAATAGGACCTGAGCAGGGGGTTGGGATCATGAGGGGTGGAAGGCAGGGGTAGGAGGGTGATCAAACCCATGGTCGAAGAAGGACTGAGACGTGCCTCGAAGGAGGCAAGGCAGGGAGCAATGCAAAGGGACTGTGGGATGGGGTGGGGGCAGAGAGGTTGAAGGCCTGACCGCTGATGGTGGGGTGACGTGGAGCCGGCTGAGTAGAGAGAGGGGAAAGGACATCCTAAAAAGTATAACTCAAACACGAAGAACTATTCCTGTCAGAATATTCCAAGGACTGGAGCGTCCTACCTTTCTGTATCCTAAGAATGTTCCAATGAATGGCAGTGGCGTGGGCCCTGGGATTCCAAGGCGTTTGAAGAATCTGTAGGGCAAGATGCTGTACCTGCAAAGTTGGAATTTAATCAGTAAACCTACATCAATATTTCAGGATGTATCATGACAGCAGAACAAAAGAACATAGGTTTAGATTAGTAAAGGGCAATTTCAGGACAAACATCAGGAAGTTTTTCTTTACTCAGAGGGTAATCAGTGTTGCCAAGAAAGGTGGTGGAGGCCAAGACCCTGGGACTCATGTAAAAGGGAGCTTGACACAGTGATGGGGACAAGGAACATAGGAACAGCAGTAGGCTATTCAGCCCCTCGAGCCTGTTCTGCCATTCTATAAGATCATGTGTGATCTGCACCTTAACTCCAATTACCCGCCCTTGCCCCATGTCCCTTGCTCCCCTTACCTAACAAATATCTGTCCACTTCAGTCTGGACAATTTGAATGGTAGGGGGGGTGTTCTGGAGGAATGATATCAGATGAGCAGAAGCCTCTTCTCCATCCAGTGTCATCTTGTGAGATACTGTAGCTTCAGTCTTTATATTGTATAAAATGAACTGTATTTGATATATTTCTAACTCGTGTGTTATCGTGGAACAAGAAAAGGACTTTGACCCACTGTAAACATATCATGTGGTACATTGATTCTCCGATCATGGCAACTTGTTTGCCATTTTCAGTGACTTCCCTGTTTTGCCTTGGTTGCGGACGATTAGGAACATTTTAGCCCACAAAATATGCAATCAATTCACTTTATAGTGTATCCTGTGAATAGCTTTCAGCTGTGTCGAAGACGTGATGAGGCACTATATCAAATGCAAGGATTATTATTATATATAACATTGGAAAACATGAACAGAAGGAAGCCATTCAGCCCATTGAACTTGTTGCACTAATTTATTAAGTTGTGGAACAGTCATTCCAGTTTACTTGCGGGTTGGGGTGGGAGAAGGAAAGGGAAACAAATAAACAGGACTGAGCAAACACAATGCTCTCAGTCCCCTGGAGACAAGCAAACAAAGCAGTCCCAACATTATTGGTTCAGGGAAGTTATTAGATCCTGCAAAAGAAAGGACTGTAATATAACTCAATCAAAGTCGCAGGTTTATTCTTGTTCATTTCATCTTTATCGAGTATTCAAGACTCATTGTGTTTCAGTGGGAAGTCAGTAACACCACAGCTGAAGTGATCATAACAATAATCCTTGCATTTGATATAGCCCCTTATCACGTCGTTCAGACGTCTCAAAGCGCTTCACAGAATATACTGTAAGGTGAATTGTCTGTATATTTTGAGGGAGAAATGCTGCATCCAATTGTGGAAAGCAGTGTCTCACAAACAGTCGTGGATTGAGGGACCCCATTTTTTTAAGGGATTAATCTTCCTGGAAAGCGATCTGCCAATCAACTAACAACTGGGTTCCTACTTACTGCTCGGTAAACAGAGGCGTGTGGAGTAAGGACACTTGCCTAAGGTTTTAACCTGCCTGGGAATCAAACCCAGTTCCTCTCACTTGCGAGACGAGAACAGTAACCATTACTGAGAATACTGAAATTAATGCTGTGGAATTCCTTGGGGCTGGTGGTGACTTTCTTCACAATTTTATATATAAAAATATGCCATTCCTGATCTCTGCTGGAAGTCCTGGGATCCCTGAATTGCACAACACAACTAACTTTCCAACCCACCAGCTAGTTATGCGGAGAGTGGAACAGGGAGGGAGTCACAGACACTTTTCTAACTTAGGCCTTAAAAATATCTCGCAAACGCTCTTAAGATAACAAAAATTATTTGGGAAGTTTTTGCAAACTCACTATTCATTAACCCACCAGCCAGACGATTCTCAGTCCACGATCTATACTTAAATAAATATTTGGATGGATTGATTAAACAACAATGGCGCACACACACACACACACACAACAGGACAATTTCGGACACTTACCAACCAAGAAGGAAAAGGAAAGTGAACAGGAGAAGCCAGGTTTGATTGGACAGTGATGTTCTGATCGTCCATAAACTCTCAGGGAAAAAACAAGACATGTTGAAGAGATCTATCTCACTCAGCAACTAATTGTTGGGAAATTCCAGCTACTCCTGTCATTTAAAGTGTCTGTCACGTGACAGGCTTGGCTGGATTATCGCTGATTAACCCCAAATTTACTTTCCTTCTATGGTAAAGGGAGAGTGCAGAAAAACATTGCGTGTGATCTGCACAACCTTTACACAATTTTATCTGTAAAAATCAGTACTGATCTTAAAAGGCAGAGAACCTTAGCTCAGTGAGTCATTGATTGCCTTCAGGTGAGGCAAGAGAGAAATGGGGGAGGATTTGATAGTCCAAGCTGTAGGCTCATAGAAATCAGAAAAATAAAATAATAATAAATAATAATAATAATACTGCCTGACCTTCTGAGTGTTCCCAGCGACTTCAGTGTTTGCTGGGATTATTATTATTATTATTATTATTATTATTATTATTATTATTATTATTATTATTATTCCTGTAGTTAGGATACTGAATAGAAGTGTGACACTGGCGCCATCTTTTGATAAAATTGAGTCACAACCACTCAACAATCCAGCTTGTCCTTTATTCTGCTTTTCTTGTATCTACTTTCCATCATGAACTTCACTGAACTAATGTCAGTGAAACTTACAGACCATGTGAAGAGTTTGGAAGATGTTTAATTGCCACTGTCGTACTGTCAGTGAAGGGAACTCTACCCAGCACTTCTTGATTTTCTTTGAAATTGAAATTACTTTGACAGTAATTCCTAGTTTTCCTAAACATTTGCCTCCATATTAACTTTTTCCCTTTTCCCTTTCACCTGGAAGATAAGGTACATCAGAGAAAGGATAACTTGAGTTTAAAAAATTTCTCCAATATTTTGAGAATGCCGTAACTATCCATGTCTTGTGACATGTTATAGGATGTATCACTGTGAAATATGATGCTGTATTTATATGTCATTTTTCAAATAGATTCAACACACGTGTAATGTGTAATTGACACTCAAACTACAACCTAAATTGGGTTTGTGGTTAGAAGTAAATTGTGCTGAGGAACACCTGCCCAAACCAGAAGTTGGCTTCACGAGGAAGCGATTGCAGTGACTGCAGTATAAATACGAAAACTCTAGGTCAATTTGGTCTGCACTCTAAAATGGCCCCTTAAATGTTCTTAAGCTTTTCAATGAAAGCATTGGTGCTGAGCAATTTTAAATAACCTGCAATTTAGTGAATCCCTTCACGTGCACATTCGTAAAATTTTCGAGTCCCCAAGGCAAGCAGAAGCTATTAATGCTGTGTGTCCGGCTGTGAATCAGTTTGCTGCTGAAAGTGATTTGAGATTACCCCAAGTAGTACAAATAGGGCATCAAATCTACATCGGCACCTAAAACAATGTTGTCTGTGCCTCTACCAAGTAATGCTAGTTTCAAAGTCCTTTCTTTGCTGGCTTGTAAGGTGACTACCTATTAAGATGCTACCTGTCGACATGGAATCCGTGTGACAACAATATCGATTAGGTTGTGGAAAAAGTTCACTCTTTAGGCTCTACATAATGTGTGTTAATATCTGGTTTAATATCTACCGTATTATATAGTTCCCTTATCGTGCTTAATAAGAACATAACACAAAATAAGAAATGGCAAGGTGAAAGGTTCAAGGTCCATCTAGTTCACTTTCGACCATCCTGGCAGTCGTTTGAAATGTCCCAAACTATATATTGTAGTTCGTGATGTTATTTTCTAGCAGGAACCTGTCTAATTTGTTCTTTCTGCTTCCACTGTCTTCCCCAGGGAGCCATATCTTTACCACTCGCTCACTGAAGTAGTGTTTCCTGTGTATATACTTAGGTACATAACTTTAAGATGTGTTATTTCTATTCAGTGACAAAGGTTGGTTTGAATTCAGTGTTGTAACTCAAAATATGACAGAATTAATGAGCTCCGCTAATGATCGAGTGAGTAAGGGCATAGTACAAAGCTGTACAAGACCAGAAGGTCCTATGTTCAATGTTCAAAGAAGAACAGTTTGGGCAAAGATACAACTATTTCTTCTAAACATATTTAGCCTTCAGCAAAGACTTGAAACGGGATCTAATTGTACATGAAAACAGACTGACAAATTAAAGCATGATCAGGTTCACACAACATGTCATACATGTGAACAGCTGAAATTCTTTTGGGTACTGATGGCCAAGTGTGTTGGCAACCAGAGAAGCAGTGATGTCCTCATATAAATGATCTTAAGCTCTGTAAAACCCATAATTGTTCATTTCCCATATTCATTATTATATTATGAATAAATTATAAATGACAGCTACGATCCATTCGGAAGGTGGCTACAAAAGTAGTGCAGCACTTCACACTGTTGGGGTTCATATCATCAACTTCATTTTGATTTTATTAGAACATCGTGAAGTCAGGAAGAAGAAACGCCTGTTCAGCCCATTGCGCTTGTTCCTTAAGTGACCACTCAAAGCCTATCCACCAACTGTACATCTCACAGGTAATATTACACAGATTTAATGAGAGCATTGTAAGCATTCAGTGGATTTCTGACGATACCACGTCGATGGACCACAGTATAAAGATTATTCTATAATCACACTTATTTTTGGACAAAATTTTTGACCTTCCCTCTCAGTGACTCCACTACAACAAAGCCGCCACCTACCCCCAATAAACCACTAGTTTCAACAATCCTAACACGTCAAAATAAAAGGGCATGACACTAGGGAATTCCATCTCAAGGAGAACTGCCCTCCACCATCATTGTACAAGAGCAGACGGCGAGGAAAGTTCCCAACGTCTGTCAACTCGGTAACAATTGTGCGGTGACGTCAGTTAAAAATTGTTCTAAGAGAAACATGTCTCAAATGAGCCATTATTCTGTCTTAACTGCATGTGACGTTACTACAAGTTCCTTATTAACAGCAGGATCTGGTCTTGGAATCACCCCTGGATGTATCTCTCTTCAAACAAATTGTTAGATTGGATTTTGCACTGAAGACAACTTTGAAAAATTCCCAAGTGGGGCCAACCTGCTACATGAAGTTCAACCAACTTCAAGGTCCATTTAGCACTTGAAATCCATAATTCCGTAAGTTTGTTAGTTGGTTGTATTCCTGGTATTGTTCCTTAGTAACGCAGTACACTTATCCTCTGTGTGTCATGTCTGTTAGACTTGCTACTATGGCTGCTGCTGTTTTGTATGACGCAATTTATTTATTATTTGCATAATTTCTCTCAATTAAAACAATTTTGAATAGGTGGTGTGTTTCTCTTTTTGTTGTTGATTCACGCGCCAGTTTTTCCCGTTTTAAAAATGATTTTATTTCTTTGATCTCATTCTCTGCAAATCCCTCTTCCTTTAAAGAATCTCATCCCTTCCCTGTAAATCGTAACAAAAAAAGGTGTCGATGCCTTAGATTTTAAAACTTTTGGGGGAGACCAAAACCAGAGGCCATCAATATGAAATAGTCACAAATAGATCAAGTAGGGAAGTTTCTTCACACAGAGAGTAGTGGGAATGTGGAACATGCTGCCACAAGTAGTTGTTGAGGCAAATAGCATAGATGTATTTAAGGGGAAGCTAAACATGTACATGACAGAGAAAGGAATAGAAGGTTATGCTCAGTTGAGGAGGGACAGGAGGAGGCTTATGTGGAGCATAAACACAGCATAGACCAGTTGGGCCAAATGGCGTGTTTCAGTGCTGTATATTCTAATCTATTCTAATGAATTCCCACTCTCACCAAATTCCTGCACAGATTTCCCACTCTGTTCTATCCTCACTCAAGTACGTCCTCGCTCGGCTCAAGAGCAGATAATATTTTTTTTAAATTTACAATGTTCTATCCTTCACCTTTTATTTATTTTCTCCTTCATCTATTTTACCCGTAACAATTTTAGGATAAATAGGTAAACAAGTAATTTAGCACCTTGTGTCCCTTGCTTACACTACTTAATACTTAACATTAGTAAATTAGGTGTGAAGTATCTATACCTACATCCCCAGGAATACATATGAGGAAAAAAAGTAATCACCTGCACCTCCTCTGCACCTAATTCCCTAACAGAATTCTCACTCGCTTCCACCTCACTCTGTTCCCTCTTCACACTGTTGGGCTCTCTGCTTAAGTGACGCTCTGGCAAGTCTTCCCCTTTACATAAGACTCAAACAAAATCACAGTTTCCACTGGCCAGAACATGTATTAATCCCCAACGCCTGGCCTATGATTAACTGCTAATTGACTGGTTTGTCTGCTAACATATAAGGTTACCTCTCCTTCAAGAAAGATTTCCCACTCTTCTGCTGAATGAAAAGTTCTCGCTTGCTCTCTGGTATCTCTTTTGCTGAACAATTCCCACTCTCACCAAATTCCCTACCAGAATTTTCACTCTGTTCCACCTCCTTACACTGCTGAGCTCTCTGCTATAATTGAAACGTTTTTCAACTTGTTTTGGTTCCACACATTGTTCTGTCACATCAATCTGTTTCCACTTGAGGTAAGTAACACAGCAAAGAAAATTTTTTTTGAATTTTGTATTAGTTTATAACGCACGCGCCCCTGAATTGGTTAGTAAATTTCACTGACATGAGCTCAATGAAGTTCATGATGGAAAGTATATATCTTTAAAAAAACTGAATAAAACACAATGATTATTGGTGTATTGGAATGACTACTGGAGGCAGATTTGAGTGAAACTCAATTTGGCTGCATGTTGGGTGACAGACAGATTTTTGAGTGGTTGTGACTGAATTTTCGTCAAAAGATGGCGCCAGTGTCACACTTTTATTCAGTATCCTAACTACAGTAACATTCGCTCTCCGGGCAGTAAGATGACTTCGGAAACTATATATTGTGTGCCACTAAATATCAATTGTATGGAATTTCCTTTCTCTCACATGATTTGAGTGCTAACAAATTTCGGGGGATATAGAAAAGTGATCCTGATTGAAGTATGGAGCTGGGACATTTAACTTGATGGGATCGAAATTATGAGATTTTTGTGAAACAAGATGTACTAAAAGAAAATCTGTTCAGTTATTGATTATTCAGTACCATATGCACAGTGCAAACTCAGGAATTTATGCTGCTTAACCTTAATGTCGTAAAGAAAGTTAGCAATAAAAACAATAATCGGTGCTTATGACTTTAAGGTCATTTTAAATGGAATTGTGTGATTTTCCCTATCTGCATTGTATAAATCCAGGCAACAATCCTATATTTTCCATTGCGGTCGGAGACAGAGGTGGGTTGGGTGGCGGAGAGTGGGATGGAAGAGTCAAGGAAGATGAAATAATGGTGCGAGATGGCTTTATCACTGATGGTGATGTCAAAGATGGTGATGCCCCAGGAAATCACTAGGTCGAGGGGGTGACCATGGATTTGATTGGCGGAGTTAATGTGCAGGAATGAGATGTCGGCAGATGTGGGGTGATAGGCTTTGGGACTCTGGAGTATGTTTTGGGGTACTGCTGCAGTTTATCCAGCTAAAACAGCTGAAACAACTGTTTGTGGGACACTGCTGTGCGCAATTGGCTGCCGCATTTCGCTCACAAATATACAGACAATTCACTTTACAGTCTATTCTGTGAAGCGCTTTGAGACATTGAGGAGACTATATCAAATGCTAGGATTATTATAAACTCCAGAAGTACTCAAGTTCAGGCCCTCGGATCCTATCCGATGTAAAGGGGAAAGGTTTTCGCCCACAAAATATATAGTCAATTTACTTTAAAGTGAAGCAATTTGAGATGTTTCAACAATGCGATGAAGCGCTATATCAAATGAAAGGATAATTATTATTAAGGAACTAATCCTCACCTCTTTCTGTTATCACAAGGCTTTTCACACTTGGATGATATCCCAGTTTGGATATATTCCTGGCTCCGATGAAAGTCATAAATCGTTTAATTGCTCAAAACCCATGACCCGTGTGTACCTTTGATGATTCCTGTGGAGTGATCTGTAATCCCATCCAACTGATTCTCTTTCCAACTCCAATCTGTCTAGTGCCTGGTAGTCACTGAAAGCAAGTTACTTCTTTTGTAAATATTTACATTTTATAAGGGTAAATTAATTTACCCTTTTTGTTCAAAGACGCGTATTACAGGTTCCAGGGAACCCGGCTCGAGTTGGGTGCCATCCGCATATATGTGGAAATTGATCCAATGTCTGCAGATGATGTCACCAAGAGGGAGCATGTACACGTTGAAAAGGAGGGGTCCAAGGACAGAGCCCAGAGGAACACCGCACGAGACGGTGCAAGGGCTGGAGGAGAAGCCGTTTGTGGAGACAAAGTGAGATAGGTAGGATGTGAACCACTCAAGGATAGAACCCTGAAGGTTGAGATGAGAGGAGAGTCGGTGGAGGGGGATAGAGTGATCAATGGTATCAAAGGCAGCAGAGAGGTCAAGGAGGGGGACAAGACTGCAAGACAGGTGGACAAAATGTCATTTGTCACTTTGATCAAGCTGTTTCTGTGCTGTGGGCAGCAGGGAAACCCGATTGATGGGGAAAGTTCCCTGATTGACAGGATGTGACAAACCGTGTTCCCAGGAGTCCGTACCGGGGCCTCAGCTTTTCACCATATGTGTATCAATGATTTGGATGAAGGAATAGAGAGTTTTATTTGCAGATGACGCAGTTAGGAGGCGTGGTAAATTGTGTAGATGGGAGCAGGAAGATACAAAGCGACTTAGATAGATTAAGTGAGTGGGCAAATTGGTGCAGATGGAACGCACAACTATTTCAATTCTTAAGTTGATTACCAAAGAATTCACTAACAAAAAGTATTTTTTTAAAAAGGTTTATATTGACAGCTAACATAACGTCAGCAAAGCAGACTTTCTCCAGTTGGTTCAGGTGAAGGAGACCCTTTCACCCATTTGATCTCTTCCATCTCATCTCACCATACCACCTCCCCATCAGAAAAGGTTGATCCAAGGAACTGATCCTGCCCGGAGATGAAAATGCCCTTTAAAACCAAGGCTTCAGCTGAACGGGAAAAATATAAATCTGGATGTAGCCTTCAGATTATATGGTGTTAGCAGTGGGTGTACACTTTGTACAAATGTTTTCAAAAATCTCAAGGTTATATATCAAAGTGATTTCATGTATTGTGACTGTGAGAGCAAATTGGTTAACATGACACTGCAAAATCCTTACTGACGTAATATATTGTAACGTGACATATACTAGAATAATTCTATTATGTAATGTGATTGATACACACGTTTAATGCAATGCACTGATTTCTTGCAATATCTTAAATACGCAGCACAGGAATCAAACATGCAGCCTATAAGAATGCACTGGAGGGGGCAGTATTTCATGAGACTTGGTGTCATCTACAACTTGGTGCCACCCACTAAATACCCTAACAATAACCTCTGCTTCCTTCCCTTCAACCAATTCTGAATCCATGTTGGTGTCTTGCCCATGACACTCAGTGACCACAGTTTGTGGTGAAAGTGTCTTCATATGTGGAGTCCTACAGCTCAGTGGTTAGAGCACTCGCCTTGCAAGCGAGAGACCTGGGTTAGTTTGCCGGCAGGTCGAATCCTTGGGTTTGTTGCCAGGTAATATGAAATGTGTGACAGTGTATTGCTAGTAGTTTTGTATCCAGCAAAGATAAATATGAGAGCTTGTGCTGAAATCTCAGCATCAGTGAGAGCTGCAGAAAATCAATCTGTGAGAGCGAGAATATGCCGATGTGGGTCTCAGTCACTTCACTCATGTGCACATATTCTCCTCCGGCAGATAAACTTCCTCATCTCTAAGTCTGCCATTTCCCCACCCCACATAGGTGTTTTTTTCTCTTGTTTCCTTTTTTTCCTTCCGTATGTAAATGCAAGGGTAATGCGTCCTCATCCAAATTCACCCCACAGATTCAACTGTACTTGGCTACTCGTCTCATTTTTGATTGTGGGACAGATATTTTGGTTTGGTCAGCCGGGTGTCTGACATGTAGAAACTCAACACCGTGTTTAAGAGTCTAATAATCCTTGCATTTGATACAGCGCTTTTCGCGTCGGGGGGATGTCCCAAAGCGCTTCACAGAATATACTGTAAAGTGAATTGACTGTATATTTGTGGGCGAACGCGGCAGCCAATTGCACACAGCAATGTCCCACAAACAGTCGTAGATTGAAAATGACCAATTTATTATTGTTTTTGGTTTTGGAGGATTATTATTAGGCTCTGTGTGGAGTAAGGAAACTCGCCCAAGGTTTCAAGGCCCTCCAGGGCCTTTACCCGTCCTACCTCTCTGATCTGCTAACTCCTTATCAACCTGCCCACTCCCTCCGCTCAGCAGGCAACGGCCTGCTCCATGTCCCCCACCCGACCTGCCCCACCATCGGCGGTCGGGCCTTTAGCCTCTGCCCCCACACTCTGGAACTCCATCCCACATTCCCTTTTCTCTTGCTCCATCCCTTGCCTTCTTAAGTCAAATTATTATTATTATTATTCAAGTCATGCCTCAAGACCCTCCTCTTCGGTCGTGCCTTCAGCCACACTCCTACCCTCTCTGCCCTCCACCCTCCCTGATCCCAACACCCTAATCCCTGATGTTCAGCGCCTTAGGATGTCCAGCGGGTTTACTGAGCAGCCGCAGACTCCTTTCAGCATATGTGTGTATCCAGTGTTTAATGTCAGCATGCTTCTCGACCTTTCGCACAAGGAAAACATTTTTTCCTTCTCCTTCCAGATCTTAAATGGTGCTGAGGAGAAACTTTAATAATAACAACCACTTCCTTTATTTCTTTTGAAGCCCCAATTTATTCGGTTAGCATTCAAACATTAGATTATGTTCATTACATTTTTTTTTGCACATGAATATTGCTGAACGAATATGACAATGTTAGGAATTTTAAAGCAACCAAATTAATTGGTTTGGAATGACAGAAGAGATCACCTGAATCTCCAAACTATAACAATTGTTCAATGATTGTTTCACGACAATTTTATTGGGTCACATATTCGAGATCCTGTTGCATTTTTACTTGGTGTGCATTGTCCTCTGCTTCTTATTCCTCTTGCTTTGAGGTCACACGGCGCACAAATTTTAGCACAACAGGCTTTGTGGGTACCATGGCACCCTTCACATCCAGTTCTAATGGGATCTGGAATGCAGAGACAATAAATAATCACTTAAATTCAGAAGGAATGTTCAGGAAATATTGTGTTGTCCCAGTTATTAATTTACTTTTATTCCTCTCCCCCTCCCATACATCGTTCTCTCATTGACAGAACATAATAATAATAATAATTCTTGAATTTGATATACTGCTTTATCATGTGTTTGAGACGTGTGCAATTGGCTCCTGTATTTCGCCCACTAAACATCGTCAATTCACTTTACAGTATATTCTGTGAAACGCTTTGAGACGTCTCAAAAACGTGATAAGATACTTTATAAAATGGAAGGATTATTATTTATTCCTATATTATTCCTTACCTGGGTCTCCTTGCATGGCTGCAGAGTGAAATTTTGCATCAGGTAAGTCAATGCTACCTTCATTAGCATCTGAGCAAATCGCATTCCAATGCAATTCCGAGGGCCCATTCCAAATGGCAGATATACATAAGGATCCCGAGCCTCTCTCGCTTCTTTAGTGAACCTAATGACATTGATAAACACAAAACACTCTCAGGTTAATCAAATAAAGTCATCAGATAAAGTATTAGATAGACCAGTTTTCTCAGAAGAAAAAGCCAACCTGGATACCCTATAGGTGGGAGAAGGGGAAACAGGTTCAGGGTTGAGAGATCAAGTTTAATACTTACACCAAGAAGTATTATATCAAAGGAAAATTTTTAGATACCTGTGGGATTACCCTCTTGCTATCGCGATCCTCACACTTGTTTTCAAATCCCTTCTTACGCTGACGCTTCCCTACATCTGTGACCTGCTCACCCCCACAACCCACAAACCGCTGCCTCCGTTCAACTGATTTCAGCCTTCTGCATATCCCTTGTGTCCTCCGTTCCACCATTGGTGGCCGCGCTTTCAGCCTCTACACCCAGAAACTCTGGAACACTCTTCCTCTATTCCTCGTCCTTGCCCCTTCCCTCCCCATCTTCAGGTCACCCCTGAACACCTTCCTATTCGACCGTGCCTACGGTCACCTCCCGCTCTCCCCGGCTCGGTATCCGGTTCCGCCACTGTCAAGCACTGTGGGACCCAATCCTGTTACAACCACTATTTCCTTGTAATATAAGAGTCAGTGGCTACAGTTTACAACCCGTGTTTATTGGGGTGGTTCAAAAATCTGAGCAGTTAAAAGGTTAAAGTTTTCCATGGGTATATGAGCAAACAGATACCCCTCCCCCAACTGAGTTCAGCAGAGGGAACAGAAGACTGAGAAAGGGTGGCGGGGTTACATTGCTCTGTACCTTTCAGGCCTAAACTCTTCTGGCTCCGGCCAATGTTCAGGGTCTCGATGCAAGACGTACGCAGGTATTGAGACAATCGTATCTTTCGGTATGGTCACTCCATTGATCTGGATATCTTTCTTACACTGTCGATCTAAGCGAGGAGCGGGAGGTATCAGTCTCAAAGTTTCTGAGATGACCATCTCCATGTACTCCATCTGCATCACGGCATCGTAGGTGGGAGTAGCCTTTATGTATTAGAAATGGACATTACTGATATGCAAATAGAATCTCGACTAATAATAATAAGCCTTGAATTTTGATATAGAGCCTTATCGCGTTGTTGAGGCGTCTCTAAAGTGAATTGAGTGCATATTTTGTGGGTGAAACAATAGATATTTTTGATCGATAATATTTATTGGCCAAAAGTTGCCTCTGCAATCATGGTGCAGATTAGGACACATATCCTGAAGTTAGTGGTAAATAGGCTTGAATCTGTGCAATGGGAAATTTGGGATTTTATTCTCCAAATTAGACCAAAGTTACCATTGGGAAATTTACAACAAATGTGAACACAAAAGGGGCAGATAATAATAATAATAATAATAACCTTCATTTGATATAGCGCTTTTCACGTCTTCTCGCTGTCTCAAAGCGTTTCACAGAATAGACTGTAAAGTGAATTGACCGTATATTTGTGGGCGAAACGCGGCAGCCAATTGCACACAGCAGTGTCCCACAAACAGTCATGGATTGAAAATGACCAATTTATTATTGTGTTTTTGTTTTGGAGAGATTATTACGAGGCGTGTGGAGTAAGGTCTTCTGCAGTTGAGCAGTTTGGGATGAAAGACAATGGTACAGGAACAGGAGTAGTCCCTTCAGCCCCTCGAGCCTGTTCTGGCACTCTATAGATCATGGCTGATCTGTACTTCAATGCCAAATACCCGCCTATGCCCCATATCCCTGACCTAAAAAAAATCTATCCATTATTTCAGTCCTGAAAATTTGAACGGATCCGGCCATAATCCACAGCCTTTTGGGGAGAGACTTCCAGATTTCCACATCCGTTTGCATGAAAAAATGGTGTAGGAAATGGGCAATTATGACGAAACAGAATTTTAGACCTGAGGCCAATTGTCAGCAGTGAGCAGCTAACTCGGCCCAGAATGGGAATCAACCTTAGATTTTAAGGGTTGTGGCTCAATTTCAAACTGGGCTGTGCCGTTTTCTGTTTGATGCAACACTTAAAGCGTTGGGTGACATAGTTAGAATGAACAAAACATACAGTATTCAAAATAAACTTTTGCTGAACATTTTTCCATGAAGGTATTGTCATGTTCAGTCCCACGTGGATTGAAAAAGGTCAGGTGTGCAGGGAAAAAAGAACAGAAGCTGGAAACAGAACGGGGCAAAATAGTGATCTGTCTGTTAAAAACCTGTTGGACTCACTTTGTTTGGGAAGGTCTCGTCAACTTCCTGCTGCAGTTTAGTTTGTACATCTGGGTTGGTTGCCAGGTAATATGAGACGTGTGACAGTGTATTGCTTGTCGTTTCGTATCCAGCAAAGATAAATATGAGAGCTTGTGCTGAAATCTCAGCATCGGTGAGAGCTGCAGAAAATCAATTTGAGAATCAGTTCACGTGGCAAATGTAGTAATAATACTAACTATGAATACACGAGTTAATGTAATCAGTTATACGAACATAAGAATTAGGATCAGGAGTAGGCCATTCGGCCCTCGAGCCTTTCCACCATTTGATAAGATCATGGCTAATCTTCTGACCTAACTCTAATTACCTGCCCTATCCCCATATCCCGTAACATGCCATCCCCTATCATGGCAAATGTAATAGTACACATTCAATAACGACTGGAACAAGTTGCCTGGAAAGGTGGAGAGGCCAGGACACTAGACTGATTCAAAACACAGCTTGATGCAGTGGTGAGGGAATGCTTGGGAGGGTGTTCTGGAGGGTTGAGATTAAATGGGTTGAAGGGCCTTCTTCATCTGCACCGATCTTGTGATCTCGTCATATGCTGTCTGCAGATTCCCCAACTGAATTCCTGATTTTAATGAATCGTTAAAATTTAAAAGTTAATTTCAGACCAATCATTGCTCAATGTACTGTGAGGGAAAGAAGTGGGTAAAAAGCAAAAAATTCTTACAAGGAAGAATTTTTCTATGTTTCCTCAGGAGGAAGAAAATAAACTTTGACAGGATGAGAAGCATTTTTAATGCTGTTACCTTTGGACGATGAGGAATTGACACCATTCTGCATCTCTTTGTTGTTTTCAGTCGTTTGAGAATCTATCATCAGTTGCAGGAAATCTACGCGATCCTGAGAGGTAAATCAGACACCATGTGGGAACTTCAGGGTAATGCCACAGATATGATTTGTCAAGATTGACCAGGTTTAAGAAACCGTTGCTTCCATCCACCTTATTTATTATCAATAAATAACAATAATAATCCTTGCATTTGATATAGCGCCATATCATGTCTTTGAAACGTCTCAAAGCGCTTCACAGAATATATTGTAAAATGAATTTTTCAGGCGAAACGCAGCAGCCAATTGCGCACAGCAGTGACCCACAAAGAATCATGGGTTTAGGGACCAAATTATTATTTATTGTTTTTGAAGGGATTATTACCCCTGGAAAAGCGATCCCCCAATGGACGCACAATCGAGTTCCTACTTACTGCGAGGTAAACAGAGGCTTGTGGAGTAAGGAAACTCCCCCTGCCCAGGAATCTGTGTAATGCCACAGATATGATTGGTCAAGATTGACCAGGTTTAAGAAACAGTTGCTTCCATTCGCCTTATTTATTACCAATAAATAATAATAATCCTTGGATTTGATATAGCGCCATATCATGTCTTCGAGACGTCTCCAGCGTGTTCCAACCACCAAACACATCTTTCCCTCCCTTCCCAGCTTCTGAAGGGACCGTTCCCTCCGTGACATTCCTCCATCACCGTCAACAGTTGCTCTCTTTCCCCCGTCACCTTTCCATGCCAGCGCAGGAGATGCATTACCTGCCCTTTCACCTCCCCCAATACCACTGTCCAGGGAGGGCCCCAAACCGTTTTCTAGTGAGACAGTGATTTATGCGTATAAATGTAGTTTACTGCGTTGACTGCTCACATTGTGGTATTCTGTACATTGGGGAGACCAAACGCAGATTGGGTGACTGATTTGCTGAACACCTCCGTGCTGTCCGCAAGCACAACCCTGAGCTTCCGGTTTCTTGCCATTTCAACTCTCCCTCCCACTCACACTCTGACCTCTCCATCCACGGTCTCCTACGCTGTTCCAATGAACCACAGCACAAGCTCGAGGAACAGCACCCCATCTATCTGCTCGGGACCTTACAGCCCTCGGGCCTCAATATTGAGTTCAATAATTTCAGACAATAACCGCTCACCTTCTCCCTCCCCCTCTGGTCTATCTGTATTGTTTCAATTCCCCCCTTTCATTTTGCTTCTTTAACCATTCATCCCCTGACCTCTACCCGATTTTCTCCTTTGTCTTCCTTGCCCTGCCTCCCCCCTCTCTGTTGGACCTTAAAAGCCTCTCCTTCCCAACATGCCCCAGTTCTGAGGGTCGTGGACCCGAAACATTGACTCACTTTCCTTTCTCCATAGATGTTGGTTTGTTTCAACAGTCCGATCTACCTTTCTGAACACTCACGATCACTTGAAGCTGCTTCCCCTCCAAAAGGACTATATCAAATTGTTACTCAATTCTGACTAGTCTTTATCCAAGATAAAATTATTCGTTGATTTCATTGCTGTTTGGGGGGAACGGCTGTGGGCAAATTGGTCGCTGCATTTCGCTGCATATACAAAGTCACTACACCTTGCAAAAACTTTATGAGTTCTAGAGTTTATAGGTGTTACACCAAATGATTATTATTATTATACTTTGAAGTGTAAGCTGCTTTCCATGCTGAAATTATTGGGATGTCTCACCTTTTATCCACTCACTAGGGAGAGGAGGATAAGGAATGGGTATTGATCTCAGTGACTGAACTTAATGTAAAACTTACATTGCGTGTTGTTTTCCTGTTTTCCTTTATGTGTGTCACAGCTTTATGGAAAAAGTCGGTGACTTCATTGGGGAATAAGCTGATATTCAGCTTTTCCATGATCGGAATGAGGAACGGAAATATTACTAGAAAAATAAATAAAACCACGGGAAATTAGATGTATGTATGTTAATACAGTATGAAATAATCCCAAAATGATTACTTTCAACAGTGGGTTTGTCCAGATATTGAATGCACACAAAGCAACAATTAGGGTTGTGTACATTTATATACTGATCAGAACACATTTCCAATATTTTTACTTCCTAAAAGCACAAATTATCCTACGGTACAGTTCCTTGGGCACCAAATGGCCTGGATAGGACTATTGTCAGGAATTGACCATGAGAAGGAGCGTAACAACACCCTGTGCCTGATCACATCCTCAGCCAACATTCGCACCACACATTCCAATAGGGGTTAACAGATAAATATCAGGAGAGAGCACCTTACTGTTTCCTCTTGCTTCCCCCACCATCCCCCCCCTTTTTTCTGGACCAGAGAGACTAATTATGATAATAATAATTCTTGCATTTAATATAGCGTCTTATCACATCTTTGAGATGTCTCAAAGCCCTTCACAGAACATACTGTAAAGTGAACACACAGAGAAAGCGAGAGACATACACACAGACAGAGAGAGAGACATACTGAGACACAGACACAGAGGGAGACCATATTCTGGGACACTGCCCGGCATGGAGGGCGCTATATAAATGCAAACTGTTGTTGCTCTGTATATGGCATTCTCTCTCTGAGAGTGTCTCTGTATCTCTCTCTCTGTCTGTGTATCACTCTCTCGTTCTCTGTGTGTATGTCATCTTTGTTTGTATATCTCTTTGTCTCTGTATCTCTCTCTCTGTGTCTCTGATTCTCTCTCTCTGTATGCGGCTCCGATTCTCTCTCTGTATCTCTCTCTGTCTGTCTGTGTCTCTGTATCTCTCTCTCTCCATGTCTCCGATTCTCTCTGTATCTCTCTCTTGGTGACTCTGATACTGTGTCGCTCTCCTGTTACTGCTTTGAAAGTGAATAACAAGTTCTGCTGCTAACCTCTGCCGTGTGCCACTGTTTTTCCCACTGGGTCAGACCGAGCCTGGGCTCTTTCCGGACACAAAGTGCTCGTGGTCTGTGCTCATGGGCCGAATAAAATCATGCCCTGGGCTGGACGAGGCCAGCAGGAAGACGGTTGGACCACCCCACTGTAGATTATCTTAATTGTTCATCAGAAAAAATAAGGTCAAACAGGCAGGATCACTGAACAGCCGAACTCGTACACATGTGCCGCATTTTAAAAGTGCAGCTTCACCGATCACTTACTCACGATAAGAAACACAGGGTTGAAGAAGCTGAATTTTAACATTTTCTTTATATTGCTGACAAATGGATCACTGGGGTTGTTGAGTGAGTCGATGTCCACACTGAAAGACGTGCTGGTGACTACATCCATGCTGTATGGACCAAAGAGGCTGGGAAACGAAGAAGAAATTCTATTAATAATAATAGTCCTTGCATTTGATATAGCGCATTATTATGTCTCAAACCGCTTCACAGAATATACTGCAAAGCATTGACTGTGTATTTTGTGGGCAAAACCCGGCAGCCAATTTCGCACAGCATTGTCCCACAAACAGACGTGGATTGAGTGGCAAAATGTTTTTATTTTTTATTTATTTATATATTTGAGGGAAATATTACCCCGGAAAAGCGATCAGCCAACCGACTTAAGAACCGGTTTGCTTCTCGCTGCGAGGCAAACAGAGGTGTGTGGAGCAAGAAAACTTGCCCAATGTCTTGCATTTGATATAGCGCCTTATTATGTCTCAAACCGCTTCACAGAATATACTGTAAAGCATTGACTGTGTATTTTGTGGGCAAAACCCGGCAGCCAATTGCACACAGCACTGTCCCACAAACAATCGTGGATTGAGTTACCAAATTATTACTATTTGTTTTGGAAGGACTATTATTCCCGGAAGAGTAATCTGTCAATCGACTAACAGCCGGGTTTCTATTTACTGCTTGGTAAACAGAGGCGTTCGGAGTAAGGAAACGTAATTAAGGTTTCGCCCTGCCCGGGAATCGAACCCAGGTCCTCTTGCTTGCGAGTCGACTGCTGGAACCAATACGCCACAGAACTTCACATGACAATGAAACAATCACAAGGGATTAATAAAAATAATCCTTATATTTGATATAGTGCTTTATCATGTCGTTGAGAAGTCTCAAAGCGCGTCACGATGGACTGTAAAGTGGATTTACTGTGTATTTTGTGGGTGAAATAATCAGGATGGAAAAGGCTCTTTAACCTATTTAATAATAATCTTGGCATTTGATACAATACCTAAAATGACACAATATTTTGAAGCCCTTCATAAGCAATTGATGTCAATTGGAATGAAACAACAACACAAATTACATTTGTATGGAGCCTTCTACATCGGGAAGAAGTCCCAAAGCGCTGGACAGTCAGGGATTTGGGCCCAAATTGGGGGTTTGGGCTCAGGGACAGTGGAGGGCAGGAGGCTATGGGTAAGTGGGTGACCAAAGGGGCGGTTGGAGTGGAGGATTTTGAGAAGGGCTCTGAAGGCGGCAAGAGAGGGAGCGAGGTGAAGGGACGATGGAGTTCAAAGGGTGGGGGTGTGGAGACTGAAGGCCCAACTGCTAATGTTAGAGTCTGTGGCGGTGGAGATTTTTTTTAAAAAAGAAGCACTCAGATACAGAGATAACTCACTCCTTCAAAGCAATGGGCTCATTCATTTTTGCTTTCTTCTCCACATTTTTCACAAGAGTTTCTGCATAGCGACAGACAATCGGAAGCATCTGGGGAAAAATAATAATAATAATCCTTTACATTTGATATAGGGCCTTATCTCGAGATGTCTCAAGGTGCTTCACAGAATATACTGTAAAGTGAATTGACTGTATACTTTTTGGGTGAAATACAGCAGCCAATTGCGCACAGCACTGTCCCACAAACAGACGTGGATTGAGTGGCAAAATGTTTTTATTTTTTATTTATTTATATATTTGAAGGGAATATTACCCCAGAAAAGCGATCAGCCAACCGACTTAAGAACCGGTTTGCTTCTCGCTGCGAGGCAAACAGAGGTGTGTGGAGCAAGAAAACTTGCCCAATGTCTTGCATTTGATATAGAGCCTTATTATGTCTCAAACCACTTCACAGAATATACTGTAAAGCATTGACTGTGTATTTTGTGGGCAAAATCCGGCAGCCAATTGCACACAGCAGTGTCCCACAAACAATCGTGGATTGAGTTACCAAATTATTACTATTTGTTTTGGAAGGAATATTATTCCCGGAAGAGTAATCTGTCAATCGACTAACAACCGGGTTTCTATTTACTGCTTGGTAAACAGAGGCGTTCGGAGTAAGGAAACGTAATTAAGGTTTCGCCCTGCCCGGGAATCGAACCCAGGTCCTCTTGCTTGTGAGGCGAGTGCTCTAAGGAATATGCAACCAGGACTCCACACAGTAAACACATTCAACGATTTAACATTTCTGGTTCAACAATAACAACAACAACAAAATTACATTTATAGAGCATGTCTGGAGGACATCCCAAAGCGCTCAACAGTCAGATATTGGGTCCCGAGCATGGAGGAGGGATGGGTAGGGGTGAGGGAAGGCAGAGGGGTGGGAGGGAGACCAAAGGCATGGTCAAAGAGCAAGGTCTTGAGACCAGTCTTGAATAATACAATGGAGGAAGCGTGGGGAAGGGACCGTGGGATGGAGTTCCAGAGTGTGGGGGCAGAGAGGCTGAAAGCCCGGCCAACAATGGTAGGGCGGATCGGGCGGGAGACATGGAGCAGGCCAGAGGCTGATGAACGGAGGAAATGGGCAGGTTGGTAGGGAGTCAGCAGGTCAGAGAGGTAGGAGGGGGCAAGGCCTTAAAGGTGAGGATGCGGATTTTGAACTTGATCCTCTGGGGGATGGGGAGCCAGTGGAGTTGAGCGAGGGTGGGAGTGATAGGGTCGCGGGGCCTGGTGCTTGAGAGTACACAAGTTGCAGAGTTTTGGATGATCTGCAGCCTGTGAAGGGAAAAGTTGGGAAGGCCGATGAGGAGGGAGTTCCCATAATGAAGCCTTGAGGTGACAGATGCATGGGTAACGGTTTTGGATGCCTGAGGGGTGAGGCAATGGCGGAGTCTGGCAATGTTGCGGAGGTGGTGGTAGCCTGTGGCGGTCATGGCGCCATGTGGGGGAGAAAGGACAGTTCTGGGTCAAACAAGACACCCAGGTTCCTCACTGGCTTAGTGAGGTTGGGTGTGCAGCCGTGGAGGCTGATACTGCCAGCGCCTGAGGTGCGGAGTTGCTGGCGCGAGCCAATCAGGAGGGCCTCGGTCTTGCTGACATTGAGTTGGAGAAAGTTGTCCGTCGTCCAGGATTTGATGTCGGAAAGGCAGTTGGTCAAGACCTCAGTAGTCCTGGAGTTCAGGGTGGAGGCAGAGAGGTAGAGTTGGGCGTCATCCACATACATGTGGAAATTTACCCCATGTCTGGGATGACGTCACCAAGGGGGAGCGTGCAGAAAGTGACGAGGAGGACTGAGGACAGAGCCCTGAGGAACACCGCATGAGACAGTGCGGGGGCTAGAGGAGAAACCGTTTGCCGCGACAAAGTGGAGGCGGTGTGACAGGTAGGACCTGAACCACTCAAGGACAGAACTTTGAAGGTTGAGGTGGAAGGAGAGGCGGTGGAGGAGGATTGAGTGGTCCACGGTGTCAAATGCGGCGGAGAGGTCGAGGAGGATGAGGAGGCAGAGGGAGCCCTGGTCACACATGGTCAGGATGTCGTTTGTGACCTTGTCCAGAGCAGTTTCCGTGCTATGGGCAGCACGGAAACCCGATTGGAGGGGTTCATGGAGGGAGTGAGAGAAGAGGAAAGAGCGAAGCTGGGAGGCAACGGCTCTTGAGGACCTTGGATAGGAAAGAGAGATTTGAGATGGGCTGGTAGCGAGATAGCTATGATGGGTCAAGAGAAGGTTTTTTCAAGGTAGGGGTGATCGTGACTGTTTTGAAAGGGGAAGGAACAGTGCCAGATGACATGGAGAGGTTAATGATGTCGGCGAGAAGTGGGGCAAAGAGGTGGAGCTGGGATTTAAGGAGAGAGGTGGGGATGGGGTCGAGAGAGCAGGTGGTGGACTTCATGGAGGTTACCATGTTGAAGACAGAGGAGGGGATGACAGGTTCAAAGGTGTGGAAGGAGGGCTGGGTAATTATCAGATGGGTAATTATCTAATGGGTAATTGTGTGGGGTGAGGGTAGGGAGGGGTTGGAAGTTGGGAGGGCAGTGGCAACTGTGCAGATTCCCTCGATTTTGGACTCAAGGAAGTCCAGCATTTTCTCGCAGTGAGAATCGGATGAAAGTATCTGCGAGGCGTGTCGGGGAGGGCGGAGGAGTCGGTTAGTGGTGGAGAACAGGAGCCTGGATTGCCTTTCGCCTCCAGGATTAATCTGGAATAGAAGGATGATTTAACTGAGGCGAGAGCGGAATTCTTGGTGAGGTCCAGCCAGATATGGCAGTGGACCGTTAGGCCAGGTTTGAGCCAAGTGCATTCGGCAAACGGCACCTGGCCCTTACCAAGCGGAGGTGGCTGATTCACAAGTGAAATGAAGCAACACGAAAACTCAACAACAACTTGCACTTAGACACCAACCACAACAACATCTTTATAGACGGCCCTTCACGCTGGGCAGCATTTCGGACAGCTTAACAGTGATGGAGCCCGATGCCGAGCTGGGGGGAGGGAGGAGGTGACTGTCAGTACAGTCGAAGAGGAAAGCCTTCAGACAGCAACTTTCACATAGAATAATGTCCCAAATGGTTTCATGGAGGTGGAATGGGAGCCGGAACAGGCTGGGAGTTGAGGAGAATGTCCCTTCATTTGTGTATGTAATCTTACACACCAGAAGTACAAACATTTATTTTTGTTCAACAGCAGTTATGCTATTGGGGGGAGACTTTACCTCTTTCAGTCTCCCACTAGTGAAAGTGGGTGAAAGCACACTTCGGATTCTCTTCCAGTTCTCATCATGAACAACTGAAACGGCATCTTTCAAAGGTCCAATCAGATCAATATCCTGCAAAAAAAGAAGTGAACAACGTTCAACAGGTACAGTTTTGAATTGAATGACCTGTCTGCTCCCTCCGCTCAGCAGGCTCTAGCCTGCTCCATGTCTGTCAGGTCTGCCCCACCATCGGCTGTCAGGCTTCCAACCTCTCTGACCCCACCCTTTGGAAGTCCATCCCACAGTCTCTTTGCATTGCTCCCTCCCTGAGCCCAGTATTGAACTGAATCTCTTGACTATTTATTTCTGCCTGTTCACGTGGACGTTAAAGATTCCATGGCACTATCTGAAAAGATAATCAGTCTCTCCTTGGCTCCAAGCCAACAATCCCCTGAGTGTGGGACACTGCTGTGGGCAAATGACGCCAAGGTGGGGGGGAGGTGACCGTAGGCACTGTCGAATCATTGCCAATGTCACTCATCAAAGGAACATTATCCCAAAAACATTGCTAATGTCACTTGTTGAAGGAAGTGACATCAGGAAGTGCACAGCGATGAAGGCTATTTGTCATGGGTCACTTACAATGCGATTGGACACAACTGATTACATGAGATTTTCTTATTATTCAACCTGTACTCATTCCTTCTTTATAGAGAACAATCCTTTGTAAATATATATTTCATTTCATGCTTCGCTGGCATGCCTGTGGGAGATATTAGAGCACTAACCCACAGTCTTCCCACTCTACTTACCTCACTGTTACACGCAGCCAAAGAAACTAAATCCTGTGAAAATAACCTGCTTTACACTGGTTAAAAAGAAACAAACTGAAAAATCAATTTCCGGAATTTGATACTAACCCGTCTGTTGGTGAAGAAAGAATAACACTCTTTTACCAAGATGGTTTTGATCATGTTGGTATCCATAACTGAGAGAAGAGGCTGCCTTCCATCATAAATCCTAAAGGAATGGGAAAAACATAGCTCAAGTACACAATGAATAATGAATAGACGGATTATAGAAAGAATAAATAATAATAAAATAATAATCCTTGCATCTGATACAGTGCCTTTCACGTTTCACGGGAGGATATATTAAAGTGCTTCACGGGATTTTCTGTAAAGTATAGTTACTGGTGTATTTTGTAGGCAAATGCGGCAGCCAATGCAAATGGCAATGTCCCACAAACAGCTATGAAGTGAATGACTAATTTTATCTAAAGGTGGGTAAGGCTAGAAGGGAGACCAAAGTCGAGGTCGAAGAGGAGGGGCTTGAGACGTGTCTTGGAGGAGGCAAGGGAGGGAGTGAGGCGGACAGACTGTGGGATGGAATTCCAAAGGGTGGGGCAGAGAGGGAGTGGACAGTCAATATGGTGTTAGCAGGTCAGTGAAGTAGGAAGGAGCAATGCCGTGGAGGGCTTAAAAGGCTGTGGCCAGAGAGATAAATTTAAAGAGAAGCATCATTTAGATACTGCCATTAGTACTTGGCACAATTGATTCAAAGAAAACTAAAACACATTTCATAATCTTCAAATTATCTCAATTTTTTTTCATTTTTTTCATTATATCATTATTTTTGAAAGTACTCACCCCCAGATCTTTCCATACTTCTTGTAACATTCTGTATCAAATCCAAATAAACCCTGTCCAGCAAAAGACCAAATCATTGGCAAAAACATTTATACTCACTATATGACATACTCATACAATAACTAGCTGTACCTGTTGCAGCTGAGTTTGCGACCAAAGGATCCGATATGGAACGTAGATTTCAGTGATACCAAATCATAAACCATTTAACATCCCATAAACACTCTGTGTACACCTTAAGCAAAACTGCCATACGTGTGCAATGAGCTTGTTTACTTTATATTACATTATTATACTTTATATTATTATATATTAGATTGTTATACTTTATATAACGGTAGGAGATCCCCCCTGACAAAATAAAAAAAAAGAGCCAAGAGAAACAGAGAGAGATCCCCGCACAGTTCACGCACTGCATATTAGTTTGTCTGCCAATAACGCATTAACCGATTGATATAAAGACATGATTTATACCTCATTGGAAAGGTCTTGCAAGGAGGAATGTCATGGGCATATTTTTTTCGGGGTGGAATCTCCTATCATTGATGAACTATGACCTAAACAAGCTCATCATCCAGTTATGGCACTTTTGATTAACACACATGTTAAACGGTTTGTGAGTGGTATCACTGAAGTGTACATTCCATATTGGATCCTTTGGTTGCAAGCGTAGCTGCAATGGACACAGTTGGTACCTCATGTTTACGGCTTCATTAAAGCAGTTTTTTTAAATATAGCTCATCAACGATAAGGGATTGCTGGAACAAAAATATTCTCATGACACTCCCCCCTGCAAGGCCTTTCCGATGAGATATAAATCATGTCTCTACATCAAAATTACTACTTTGTTTGACCGCTAATCACTGAACTACAAGGCTCGAATTATATGGTGCGCACGTACTTGAAAGAATAGTTGTGTCTCACAGAAACCTATTATACCTCAAAGGAAAAAAGCAAATGTACACAAATATCGTATCTAGGATCTATGTTGCAGAGGTTTCACTAATATATCTACACATATTTGATTCTACATGTTTTATCATCCATACTGATGAATATTGATTGAAGCTGATCAAATTTCTACATCTCTGTGCAACTCCTTGTTTGCTGATAGTTAATTGTTGACCTTAGACAACTTTTTAGTAAGCATCTGAGTCATGTTATCAATCGTGGTTGGACACTACATTTCAATACTGCGGAATTAGACAACAGTAAAATTCAAATATATACTTTGGAATACAGTCAATTCACTACAGTATATTCAGTGACGCACTTTGAGACGTCGCAACAACGTGATCAGGTGCTAAATCAAACGCAAGGATTATTATTATCACTGTTATATCAAGTAAGGGAATAAAATAAACAAGAACAGTGTGGCAACCGTTTATTACCAACAAGTAAGTACAGGATCTTCCCCAATTCTTCACCTTGTGAGTTTTCAAACACAGTTTTGCTATCAGTACAAACCATTTATACAAAGGCCATGAAAAATTAGGGGAATTGCTATTGTTTCCTCTTGTATAAAGTCACTGCACTTAATAGTAAGTCGTGTGAAGATCCTGTGAGATATTCTCCTGATGTTCTAACAACAAAAACAACAACAAATTACATTTGTATAGCACCTTTCATTTTGGAGGACGTCCCAAGGTGTTGCTATGTCAGGAATAGGACCCGAGCAGGGGGTTGGGATCATGAGGGGTGGAAGGCAGGGTTCGGAGGGTGATCAAACCCATGGCCGAAGAAGAGGGTCTGCGACGTGCCTTGAAGGAAGCAAGGCAGGGAGCAATGCAAAGGGACTATGGGGTGGGGGCAGAGAGCTTGAAGGCCTGACCGCTGATGGTGGGGTGACGTGGAGCCGGCTGAGCAGAGAGAGGGGAAAGGACATCTTAAAAAGTATAACTCAAACACAAAGAACTATTCCTGACAGAATATTCCAAGGACTGGAGCGTCCTACCTTTCTGTATCCTAAGAATGTTCCAATGAATGGCAGTGGCGTGGGCCCTGGGATTCCAAGGCGTTTGAAGAATCTGTAGGGCAAGATGCTGTACCTGCAAAGTTGGAATTTAATCAGTAAACCTACATCAATATTTCAGGATGTATCATGACAGCAGAACAAAAGAACATAGGTTTAGATTAGTAAAGGGCAATTTCAGGACAAACATCAGGAAGTTTTTCTTTACTCAGAGGGTAATCAGTGTTGCCAAGAAAGGTGGTGGAGGCCAAGACCCTGGGACTCATGTAAAAGGGAGCTTGACACAGTGATGGGGACAAGGAACATAGGAACAGCAGTAGGCTATTCAGCCCCTCGAGCCTGTTCTGCCATTCTATAAGATCATGTGTGATCTGCACCTTAACTCCAATTACCCGCCCTTGCCCCATGTCCCTTGCTCCCCTTACCTAACAAATATCTGTCCACTTCAGTCTGGACAATTTGAATGGTAGGGGGGGTGTTCTGGAGGAATGATATCAGATGAGCGGAAGCCTCTTCTCCATCCAGTGTCATCTTGTGAGATACTGTAGCTTCAGTCTTTATATTGTATAAAATGAACTGTATTTGATATATTTCTAACTTGTGTGTTATCGTGGAACAAGAAAAGGACTTTGACCCACTGTAAACATATCATGTGGTACATTGATTCTCCGATCATGGCAACTTGTTTGCTATTTTCAGTGACTTCCCTGTTTTGCCTTGGTTGCGGACGATTAGGAACATTTTAGCCCACAAAATATGCAATCAATTCACTTTATAGTGTATCCTGTGAATAGCTTTCAGCTGTGTCGAAGACGTGATGAGGCACTATATCAAATGCAAGGATTATTATTATATATAACATTGGAAAACATGAACAGAAGGAAGCCATTCAGCCCATTGAACTTGTTGCACTAATTTATTAAGTTGTGGAACAGTCATTCCAGTTTACTTGCGGGTTGGGGTGGGAGAAGGAAAGGGAAACAAATAAACAGGACTGAGCAAACACAATGCTCTCAGTCCCCTGGAGACAAGCAAACAAAGCAGTCCCAACACTATTGGTTCAGGGAAGTTATTAGATCCTGCAAAAGAAAGGACTGTAATATAACTCAATCAAAGTCATAGGTTTATTCTTGTTCATTTCATCTTTATTGAGTATTCAAGACTCATTGTGTTTCAGTGGGAAGTCAGTAACACCACAGCTGAAGTGATCATAACAATAATCCTTGCATTTGATATAGCCCCTTATCACGTCGTTCAGACGTCTCAAAGCGCTTCACAGAATATACTGTAAGGTGAATTGTCTGTATATTTTGAGGGAGAAATGCTGCATCCAATTGTGCAAAGCAGTGTCTCACAAACAGTCGTGGATTGAGGGACCCCATTTTTTTAAGGGATTAATCTTCCTGGAAAGCGATCTGCCAATCAACTAACAACTGGGTTCCTATTACTGCTCGGTAAACAGAGGCATGTGGAGTAAGGACACTTGCCTAAGGTTTTAACCTGCCTGGGAATCAAACCCAGTTCCTCTCACTTGCGAGACGAGAACAGTAGCCATTACTGAGAATACTGAAATTAATGCTGTGGAATTCCTTGGGGCTGGTGGTGACTTTCTTCACAATTTTATATATAAAAATATGGCATTCCTGATCTCTGCTGGAAGTCCTGGGATCCCTGAATTGCACAACACAACTAACTTTCCAACCCACCAGCTAGTTATGCGGAGAGTGGAACAGGGAGGGAGTCACAGACACTTTTCTAACTTAGGCCTTAAAAATATCTCGCAAACGCTCTTAAGATAACAAAAATTATTTGGGAAGTTTTTGCAAACTCACTATTCATTAAGTCAACCCACCAGCCAGACGATTCTCAGTCCATGATCTATACTTAAATAAATATTTGAATGGATTGATTAAACAACAATGGCGCACACACACACACACACACACACACACAACAGGACAATTTCGGACACTTACCAACCAAGAAGGAAAAGGAAAGTGAACAGGAGAAGCCAGGTTTGATTGGACAGTGATGTTCTGATCGTCCATAAACTCTCAGGGAAAAAACAAGACATGTTGAAGAGATCTATCTCACTCAGCAACTAATTGTTGGGAAATTCCAGCTACTCCTGTCATTTAAAGTGTCTGTCACGTGACAGGCTTGGCTGGATTATCGCTGATTAACCTCAAATTTACTTTCCTTCTATGGTAAAGGGAGAGTGCAGAAAAACATTGCGTGTGATCTGCACAACCTTTACACAATTTTATCTGTAAAAATCAGCACTGATCTCAAAAGGTAGAGAACCTTAGCTCAGTGAGTCATTGATTGCCTTCAGGTGAGGCAAGAGAGAAATGGGGGAGGATTTGATAATCCAAGCTGTAGGCTCATAGAAATCAGAAAAATAAAATAATAATAATAATAATTGGGTCACTCAACCATGACTGTTTGTGGGACACTTTGCTGTGTGCAATTTACTGTCACGTTTCGACCACAAAATATAGTCAATTGAAAGTATATTCTGTGAAGCGCTTTGAGACGTCTCGACGACGTGATGAGGCTCTGTATCAAATGCAAGGATTAGTATTGAGTTCTGACGAAGAGTCGTGGACCCGAAACGTTGACTCACTTTCCTTTCCCCACAGATGCTGCCTGACCTGCTGAGTGTTCCCAGCGACTTGAGTGTTTGCTGGGATTATTATTATTATTATTATTATTATTATTCCTGTAGTTAGGATACTGAATAGAAATGTGACACTGGCCCCATTGTTTGATAAAATTGAGTCACAACCACTCAAAAATCCAGCTGATATCCAAATTGCAGCCAAATTAGTGGCTTCACTGGAATCTGCCTCCAGTATTTATTCCAATACATCAATAATCAATAATCAATAATAATCACATTGTCCTTTATTCTGCTTTTCTTGTATCTACTTTCCATCATGAACTTCACTGAACTAATGTCAGTGAAATTTACAGACCATGTGAAGAGTTTGGAAGATGTTTAATTGCCACTGTCGTACTGTCAGTGAAGGGAACTCTACCCAGCACTTCTTGATTTTCTTTGAAATTGAAATTACTTTGACAGTAATTCCTAGTTTTCCTAAACATTTGCCTCCATATTAACTTTTTCCCTTTTCCCTTTCACCTGGAAGATAAGGTACATCAGAGAAAGGATAACTTGAGTTTAAAAAGATTCCTCCAATATTTTGAGAATGCCGTAACTATCCATGTCTTGTGACATGTTATAGGATGTTTCACTGTGAAATATGATGCTGTATTTATATGTCATTTTTCAAATAGATTCAACACACGTGTAATGTGTAATTGACACTCAAACTACAACCTAAATTGGGTTTGTGGTTAGAAGTAAATTGTGCTGAGGAACACCTGCCCAAACCAGAAGTTGGCTTCACGAGGAAGCGATTGCAGTGACTGCAGTATAAATACGAAAACTCTAGGTCAATTTGGTCTGCACTCTAAAATGGCCCCTTAAATGTTCTTAAGCTTTTCAATGAAAGCATTGGTACTGAGCAATTTTAAATAACCTGCAATTTAGCGAATCCCTTCACGTGCACATACGTAAAATTTTCGAGTCCCCAAGGCAAGTAGAAGCTATTAATGCTGTGTATCCGGCTGTGAATCAGTTTGATGCTGAAAGTGATTTGAGATTACCCCAAGTAGTACAAATAGGGCATCAAATCTACATCGGCACCTAAAACAATGTTGTCTGTTCCTCTACCAAGTAATGCTGGTTTCAAAGTCCTTTCTTTGCTGGCTTGTAAGATGACTACCTATTAAGATGCTACCTGTCGACATGGAATCCGTGTGACAACAATATCGATTAGGTTGTGGAAAAAGTTCACTCTTTAGGCTCTACATAATATGTGTTAATATCTGGTTTAATATCTACCGTATTAGATACGATCCATTCGGAAGGTGGCTACAAAAGTAGTGCAGCACTTCACACTGTTGGGGTTCATATCATCAACTGTTCATTTTGATTTCATGAGAACATCATGAAGTCAAGAAGAAGAAACGCCTGTTCGGCCCATTGCGCTTGTTCCTTAAGTGACCACGCAAAGCCTATCCATCAAATGAGCCATTATTCTGGTTTAACTGCATGTGACGTTACTACAAGTTCCTTATTAACAGCAGGATCTGGTCTTGGAATCACCCCTGGATGTATCTCTCTTCAAACAAATTGTTAGATTGGATTTTGCACTGAAGACAACTTTGAAAAATTCCCAAGTGGGGCCAACCTGCTACATGAAGTTCAACCAACTTCAAGGTCCATTTAGCTCTTGAAATCCACAATTCCGTAAGTTTGTTAGTTGGTTGTATTCCTGGTATTGTTCCTTAGTAACGCAGTACACTTATCCTGTCTGTGTGTCATGTCTGTACCTGTTAGACTTGCTGCTATGGCCGCTGCTGTTTTGTATGTTGCAATTTATTTATTATTTGCATAGTTTCTCTCAATTAAAACAATTTTGAATAGCTGGTGCCTTTCTCATTTTGTTGTTGATTAATAATAATAATAATAATCCTTGCATTTGATATAGCACTTTTCACGTCTTCCAGACGTCCCAAAGCGCTTCACAGAATATACTGTAAAGTGAATTGACTGTATATTTGTGGGCGAACGCGGCAGCCAATTGCGCACAGCAATGTCCCACAAACAGTCATGGATTGAAAATGACCAAAACACAAAACAAGTATATTTCTTAAAAAAAGCAGAATAAAACGCAATGTGATTATTGGTGTATTGGAATGACTACTGGAGGCAGATTTGAGTGAAACTCAATTTGGCTGCATGTTGGGTGACAGACAGATTTTTGAGTGGTTGTGACTGAATTTTTGTCAAAAGATGGCGCCAGTGTCACACTTTTATTCAGTATCCTAACTACAGTAACATTCGCTCTCCGGGCAGTGAGATGACTTCGGAAACTATATATTGTGTGCCACTAAATATCAATTGTATGGAATTTCCTTTCTCTCACATGATTTGAGTGCTAACAAATTTCGGGGATATAGAAAAGTGATCCTGATTGAAGTATGGAGCTGGGACATTTAACTTGATGGTATGAAATTATGAGATTTTTGTGAAACAAGATGTACTAAAACAAAATCTGATCAGTTATTGATTATTCAGTACCATATGCACAGTGCAAACTCAGGAATTTATGCTGCTTAACCTTAATGTCGTAAAGAAAGTTGCAATAAAAACAATAGTCGGTGCTTATGATTATGATTGATACACACGTTTAATGCAATGCACTGATTTCTTGCAATATCTTAAATACGCAGCACAGGAATCAAACATGCAGCCGATAAGAATGCACTGGAGGGGGCAGTATTTCATGAGACTTGGTGTCATCTACAACTTGGTGCCATCCACTAAATACCCTAACAATAACCTCTGCTTCCTTCCCTTCAACCAATTCTGAATCCATGTTGGTGTCTTGCCCATGACACTCAGTGACCACAGTTTGTGGTGAAGGCGTCTTTCATATGTGGAGTCCTGTAGCTCAGAGCACTCGCCTTGCAAGCGAGAGACCTGGGTTCGATTGCTGGCAGGTCGAATCCTTGGGTTGGTTGCCAGGTAATATGAGATGTGTGACAGCGTATTACTATTAGCAAATGATTGGGAGGGTGTTCTGGAGGGTTGAGAGCAGGGATGGGTCCAGGGAGGGATTTTTAAGGCTAGGGATGACGACACCTGTTTTTAAATGGTTGTGAAGGGTGCTTGTGAGCAGGGAGAGATTTATGATGTGTGTGAATAGTCTTACCACAGTTCAAGATGTGGAGTCCTGTTGCGTATTGGTTAGAGCACTCACTCACAAGCGAGAGGACCAGGGTTCCATTCAAACAGTCATGGATTGAGTGACCAAATTTTTTTTTCAAGGGTTTATTACTCCCAAAAAAGTGATCAGCCAATCGACGAGCAACCCATTCCGACTTGCTGCTCGTTAAACAGAGGGGCATGGAGTAAGGAAACTTGCTTAAGGTTTCGCCCTGCCTGGGAATTGAACCCAGGATCTCTTGCTTGTGAGGCAAGTGCTCCAACCAATATGCAGTCCAGGACACTATCTACATAAATGCAAGTTGTTGTTGTTATGCTACAGGACTCCATGTATTTTGATGTAGTTTGAAAATTGACACTTACCAACCAAGAAGGAAAAGGCAAGTGAGTAGAAAAAGCCAGGTTGGATTTGACATCAACAAACTTTTCAGGAGAAAAAGACATCGCAAAGAATCTCGCCATTCCAGTTATTAGCCTCCTTCAAGTCCTGCCTCAAGACCCTCCTGTTCGTCCATGCCATCAGCCATCCCCCTTCCTCTCCCCTCCCTTCTTGCCCCCTGACCGCTGCTCGGGTCTGAAATGCTATACACTGTCCAGTGCTTTGGGACGTCCTCCCGACGTGAAAGGCGCTATACCAATATAATCTTGTTGTTGTTGTATCGGAGAAACAACAGACAGAGTCTCATGATAGTGAGGGTTTGGGCTATGTTACTGCAAACAACTCAATCCAAAAGTCCTCTCGGGAGCAAAAGTTAGAAAACAACTCTTGATAAAGTCCCAAAATAAACAATTTAAGTACAGAAATGTTCAATGCAGGAAGAAAAAAATGACATAATATATGAAGACCTTTAGTCCAAAAGAGAACGGAAATATATCAGGATTAGAGGAGCCAAAGTTTGGATTTTAAATGTCTAGATTGTAAAAGAAGGAAGATTGAAGAAACTAATAATTCCTCCCCCAAAAAACAACATAAAATTGGACACTCAATTACCCGGCCTGCTCCATGTCCCCCACCCGACCTGCCCCACCATCGGCCGTCGAGTCTTTAGCCTCTGCCCCCACACTCTGGAACTCCATCCCACATTCCCTTTTCTCTTGCTCCATCCCTTGCCTCCTTCAAGTCAAATTATTATTATTCAAGTCTTGCCTCAAGGGCCTACTGTTCGACCGTGCCTTCAGCCACCCTCCTACCCTCTCTGCCCTCCACCCTCCATGATCCCAAACCCCTGCTCGGATCCTAATCCCTGATTGTTCTGCGATTTGGGACGTTCTGCCGATGTGAAGGCGCTTTACAAATGTAATTTTGTGTTGAAAATGTCTCAA